TTGTCTTGTGCCGAGTGCATCACCGAGCCCATCCTGTTAGTGCATGCAACAGGAGCAAGGGACCTCCCTGGTAGACCTGAAAACCAAATTAGCAAGACCCTCTCATTTACTGGTGATCTTAGGAGCCCATGCTCAATTTTGCCTCCTTACTGGTGTGACTGTAGTGCACCGGCATGGGCAAAGTAGGTTCTTGGGTGTGGAGGTGGCCTGGTGGGTGCAGCAAGAGAAAGTGAGGTGAATGAGAATTGCACCTTGGCTTTATGCTCCATCCCAGGTTTTAACAGTGAACGACAGGAAAAGTTCAGGTGATCAAAATTCACAATTTTAACTACTTCTCATGAAAATTGTGAAATTTTCTTTGAGAAACTTGCCCTGTTCCTGTGATGTCTGAGATATCAGGGGGAAGGGGGTTGATACCTGTCAAACTTCTTTAATTTTGATGAAGAAAGGCTGAATTCTTTGGAAAAGCCCATCCTAATGTGGTATCCCTGTGTTCTGGCCAAGAAGAGCACAGTTCTACTGGCAGCCAGGTATTTATTCCCCCATTCCTGCAGCCTGGGAAGTCACCTCTTCAGTGTTACATTGACTTTTCTGCACCTCTTCCTACAAGGCTCAGCTTGGTCCAGAAAGGGATTCAACATTTACATGGAGCTGATCCTCATTAGCAAGAAAGATGACTCTGAAGTCCTCAGACTTCAGGACTGATCTCAGCTGGGTTACAGCCCAATGGGGTGTTACACTCCAGGGAGATCAGAAATAAATGTAGAGGAGTTCCGCCTGGGTTTTCCCATGTCACAAGATGCAGAGATTAAATCTTCTGACCTCTAAGTCAGAAGGAAGATCTCCTTTCATGATGCATGAGGAGGAACCAAGCTTTGGATGTGTTGGACCTCTACAGGGCTCTAGAAATGCAAAAAGCCACCAAAAGACCCCCTTTCCTTCCCTGCCAAGGTGGGCACCAGGGTAGCTGGAGCTGGTGGTGGTGTTTGGGACAGGACTGGGGGAAATGAACAGCTTCCAGCAAAGCTGGAAAATAAGCCTTTCTGCCCGTTCATAAGAGGGGAATATTTTACTAGAGCAACAGAGTTTGTGCATTACCCGGGAAAATAACAGGGCTTTGGTTTTGTTTTATTTTACCCCAGTAAAGAGAAGGCTGCTGCTATGGAAAGTCATATCAACCTCCTCCAGGCATAGGGATGCTTAGGGACCACAGCAGATCCCATCCTTCAGCAAAGGGCAAAGCCCAGCTCAGTCCTATGTGAGGTCATGTCACCATCTGTCACCTTGTTACATGGGTGATGGGTGACACCTGAAGCCAATAGATGGGAGAAACGTGACAGAGAAATCCTGCAAGCCCTGTTATGGCTTATTCTGGAGCGAGCTGCTATGTCTGTTGGTCTTAAAAGCATCGGTAGGTGTCTCTGCCAAGAGAGTGCTGTGAACCTAGTGATTTATCTCTTTTTTTACCCCTGATGCTCATTAAACTGAGAATTTGCCGGTGCTGCTGCTGTATCCAGCTGAATGTGTGTGCTTCTTGGCTCCCAGCAAGGTCCTCGCTGCAGATACCATGTGCTTTGGCAGCCGGGCCAGTCTGGGCTGCAGGATATTACGCCTGGCAGGGACACAAACCCCTTCCAGTTCCTGGAATTTGGATTGTCTCGTGGAGTGCTGATTAAGCAGTGCTTTCAATGTGCACCCAAGACAAAACCCTCGCCTTGTCTCCGCACAGAGGTTCGGTGCAGCTCGGCTGCTGCGTGGCAGTGGGAGCTGCAGTGGGTTTGCTCTCCCTGAGCCCCAGGGAAACAAAAACTCAAAAAAAAATCTTGAATGCAAAGCTTTGCAGTTCATGGTGCTGGATGAGCATTTGCTGCTCAGGCCTCTGTCTTCTGTGAAATAATAAATCATTAAAAAACTCTCCCCATAACACAGGCCCAGTGCCCTCCCCACCTTGGTGTGCACTTGGTGGCAGCTGCTCCTCCCAGTCTGCCCAGACCACGTCCCCACTCTGCCCAGTTAAGATTGCTGCTGCGTGTCCCCATCTGCCTTTCTAATCCGTTGGGAATGAAATGGCCTTTACCAGCCGTTACTAATGAGAGATTGGATAGCTGGGGTTGAGTGGACAGAGGCAGCCCCAGTGTGTGCCGTCCCAGTGTGATATGAAGGGCTGTCCTGATGCCCGCTCCTGGAGCTGGCACTCATCTCTGCATAAGTGAACATAAAATAGGGGTGTCGGTAGGATTGGCAAACTGGGGATGGTGCTTTGCCTGGCACCTGCAGAGAGGTTGCTGGTGTTTTGGGGTGGTCTGGTGCTAGGAAGGTGAAGCTGAGCTGGTTAGACCCCCTGCATTAGGCAGCCTGGAAAGCCAGTGGGCTCTGGGAGCCATCCTGACACCCCAGCGTGCCCAGCACCGGCATCCATGGCACGGCACGGCTCAGCCCTCAGCAGCTTGCACAGCCCTGCCGGTGCACGGGGTGCTACTGCTCTCCGCACTGAGAGGCCCTGGGGCTGGGGATGCCTCAGCAGTGGTTTCCCTGTCTCCTCGCTGGCACAATCATCGTCCCACCAGCTGGGTGGGGAGTAGATGGAAATATCCCTCCGGCACATGTCTCCAGCCACTCCCCGGGACCCGCAGCATCTTGAGTTGCTTTACAAGAGAGCAGATGCCAGGAAAAACATACATGGGGGACTATTTCAGCAGTCTCACAGCAGGGTGAGGCTGTATTGCTATAGTACATCAGCTCAGCACCTGGGTGTTATTCCTGCTCCACACTTGGGTCTGCTCTTCCCTGAGCTCCTGGTCGGCTTCTGTTGCACTGTGGGTCTCTGGGGCGGCCGGGTGCAGCTGGCTGTGCTCTGGGATGTGGTGTCAGTCTGAGCATGGGGCGGGAGTTGCGCATCTGGGATCCTCAATTCTTGCCCCAGTCAAAGCAGTGAGGATGAGAAGCAGTGATGGGTTGCTGCTGTGGGACTGCCTTCTCCTCCCCACACTGTCCCAGCAGCCTCCTTGTCTCCCTGCCTGAGCACCAGCTCTTCTCTGGGCACACTCTGGTCTCAGCCCCATGTCTCTGTCTCCATGCCTCCCATCAGCTCAGGAGAGGGAGTTTGGGCTTGATGCTCCCTTTCATGCAAGCAAAGAGCCAAATCCTGGCTCCAAACCTGCCTGTGCCCTGGTGAACCCAGGCCTGGGGAGTTGCAGGGAGAGCATCTTGCCTACCTGGGGCACCATGGCATGGAGGGATGATGGCAGCAAGCCCCACTGCTGCTCACATGTGGCCACTCAACGGTGGCTCTGAGCACGGTGGAAGGAAGACATGTGATGGGCATTGCAAGCAGCCCCTCCAGCCTGCCAGACTCGCATTTTTGTGACCTGCAATAATTCAGCTTGCCTCAGGCTTCGTAAGTGCTTGAGATGTTGTAGGGAAACACACTTGATGCTGCAGGATTGTCCATGGCTTTCAGAGTTCTGCAGCCATTTCCCCTCCCTGGGGACAGACACCTGGACAGCAGTCAGGCTGCCCAGCGGAGCACAGCCCACCGAGGAAGGACTGTTTTCCCCTGAGATGCCCCTGGTGGGCATCACCAGCCCAGGTCACTGGTGGGGACACAGGCAGAGCCCCCGCAGGCTGCGGCAAGCCCTAGTCCTTGGGGAACCCAGGGGCAGCAGTGCCCAGCCTGGCAAGTGGCTTCACTTCTAACGGAGAGAGCTGCTGGCCCAGTGACATGCGTCGTCACCAGGTCCCCTCCCAGCCACCCCCAGAATGGGACGTCCCCGCCATCTGCTCAGTTCGCACCAAAGCGGGGTGACCCCGGGGCTCCCGGTGAGTGCCAGCCCTGCCACTGCCTTGCCAGGGCAAAACCCCCTCCGCATCCCTCGCCGACCTGGATTCTCTTCCCTATCCACAGCTCCCAGCAAGACCCCAGCTGGGGGGTGATGAACAGGGGAGAGACAACTCTGGGAACCTCTCCCCATAGGTAGCTTGAAAAAAACCCCAGCCAGCAGCTGATGAGCAGCTCCTCTGCCCACTGGAGGAGCGATCCAGGCTCTGCTCGCTTCCCCCCACCGGACTGTGCACGGCTCAGCATGCCTGTGTGCGCGCCTCTGCGCGCGGATGCATCCACCAGCCTATAAATCTCCTAGCAGGGCTCCTTCCAAACTTCAGGACATTCCCCGGGGGAAGAGTTAAGATGCAGCTTTTGCGTCAGATGCCGCAGCGGGCTGCCCGGCGGGGCTAGGCTAAACCTCTCCCCCGCATCTGCCCCAGCAGGTTGTTTGCAAAGGTCAATCCCACCAGCTGCCACCACCGCCGCCGGGCTCGGCTGCTCTTGGCTCAGTCCTCAAGGTACGTAGTCGGGGGAACATCCTCCCCACTGCTCCGGGGAAGGGCTGGCAGGGATGCTAGGAGGTGCATCGGCTGACAGACGAGGAGATATTCCAGCAACCTCCTTTTTTTTTTTAATTATTCTGCTTTTGTGGTGGTTTATTTTTCTTTCCCTGAGAAAAAGACTTGTTAGAATTTCTTGCCGATGCTTTTAAAACTTGCTATGCATTTCTTTATCTGTATGAGATTTCCATTTTTGCTGGGGATTTACTCAACACACCAAACGCCTGGGAAGTTACAGGGCAGGCGGCTGCAGTGAATATCTCAGCATGCTCCTAATTAGCCCCTGCCCGGCAGGTACGTGCGCTAAGTGAAAAAATGGGGGAGATTTTGTACTGATTTTATTTTGTTTTTAAAGAAACAACAAGAAAACCAATTCCCCAGACATCTCCCTGCCAGTCCTGGGGAATTTGCTGTGATAAATGAGGTTATCAGATTAATTTTAAAAATCTTATTTTGCGAAGTGGTATTTGCATGGTATTTGCAAACCTGAGTGGTGCCTGTGTTGTTTTCTCTCCTAGATCCACACGCCAGCAGCAGGGACCGGCAGTCCACCTTGTCCTTGCTTAACTCTGTGCGGGAGCAGAAAGCTGCCGGCCGATCCCGCCGGCCGTGCTAGCATGACTGTGCTCCACTTGCACCTGTACCTCACTGCCTTGGGCTTCTGGATGACGCAGCAGTCCAGCTCCTTCCTGCTGCCCAATGCCACCGAGCTCCTGTCCCCCCCCGGGGGCAGAGCTGCGGGCCTGCTGTGGGGCGTGGGGGTCCCCCGGAGCCGTCGGAAGCGATACCTCTCCCCCCATGACATGAGCGTGATTTTGGACTACCATAACCAAGTGCGAGCACAGGTGTCCCCCCCCGCTGCCAACATGGAGTATATGGTGAGTCAGCCTCTGGCAGGGTGTTTTTGGGTCCACAGCTCTTGGGTGCTGCAGTGGGGTTGAGGGGCTCGCCCATGAGGTGGGCACCTAACCTGGTAGGGACAGGGCACCCACACATGGGGATGTCGGGGTGCTGCCCCAGATTTGTGGCTGAACATCTTTCCCGGGGACGTTTTGCATCCCTGGTGCAGGGCAGACCCATGCAGCCTCTGTGCAGGAGGGATGGATTCCCAATGGGGCAATGTTTCCACCCAGGGGCAGATTTAGGACACCCGGTCCCATGTCTGCAACATCTGGGAGCTTGCTGGCTGCGGGGTGGCAGGATCTGTCCAGCCGAGCTGCAGAGATAGCATTAGGGGAAGGGAGGTGGCTACAAGCGTGAAAAGTTCAGGTCCCAACCCAAAGTCCAGGTGGGAGCTTTTCCCCTAACTGCAGCCGGGAGGGACGGCCCTGTCCCAAGCTCCAGGGTCCCTTGGGAGCATGTCCAGGGATGCCAGCCCCTGGGAGAAGAAACATACAGGAGTGGGTCAAATTGGGGCTGCACAGCTTCGCCGGGTCGGGCACCTCCTCTGGTCCAAGGCTACCCTGGGCAGAGCTTTCCCCAGGCTGTCTCCACCCCGCTTGGAGCTCCTAGCCCTGTTCTAAAGGGAGGAGAAATGGGGAGCCACCAAAAGAAGGGATTTCCAGCCAGCACAGAGTGGGACCCTCAGGGCAGGAGGTGCCACATGCTGCTCTGCTCGCAGGGAGGAGACTGGAGCTCTGATGGAGCAGCTGGGTGGTCCCTGGATGCCAGTTTGGGAGAGACAGGCAGCAGCTCAGCTTGCTGGGTACCACAGCGGGTCAGACGTGCCCAGGAGCATCCTGTGCTGCTTCTTGCTCAGCCTAAATTCCTACCTTCCAAAATAACTCTCTCGGGCATCTCTCCAAAGCAGTTCAGGATGGGTGAGGAATCTTTAAATAATGCATGAGGGAACCAGCTGTCCTCACTGGTTGGTTAATCTGTGGCCAGGGCTGTGGTGGAGGGCTGGGGATGGCTGTGAGCTGCAGTGGCTGTGCAGGGTTGCGCGGTTTCACCCCTGGGCTCAGCTCCACCTTCTGCAGAAGCAGCACATTCCCAGAGGGAATCACACACGCAGGGCTTGCACTGCTTCAGGGCATCCATGCTCTGCCTGGGCAGAGGGCACCCAAGGTGCCCAGGAGCTATGGTGGGCAACTAGAGTGGTTCACTGGACATGCTGCCATGCTTCCCCTGGATTTTTTCCAGCCTGATGTGTAAGCCGTGATTTTTGGACACTCATGGGTGCTCAGAAACTCTCCCTGAGCCTAATAGACCGGGTTTCTCCTTTTCCCTCCTCTGGACACCCAAAATCCCTCCCTGCCTTTTTCCTTTCCTCCTGGCCAGGTGTGGGACGAGCGGCTGGCCAGGGCAGCGGAGGCATGGGCTGCGCGCTGCCTGTGGGACCACGGGCCCCCCCAGCTAATGAAATACATGGGGCAGAACCTCTCCATCCACTCGGGCAGGTGAGTGCCCCATGGGCGGAGTGGGCTCCCCGGGATTCCCCACACCCCACGATGCTGGAGGAGGAGGAGGAGCAGCAGGCCCTCGGTTGAGGAGCAGAGAGGTTCTGAGCTGGGGTTGCAAAGGACTGAGATGCAACCAAGAGGCACATCAAGCCCCCCAGGGTGGAGGAGAAGGGTCCAACTCTTGCAGCAGGGTAAATGGGGGAAACCAGAGGTGCCCACTGCTCATTTGGGGACTACGGCATTAATCACCTCTCTGCCAGGCACACGGACCAGGGGAATGTGGATCCTGGATCTCCATCACGCAGCTGAGCACTCAGGTGCCTCCAGTGAGGGCCAGGTCTTCTGGCCTTGGGCACAAGTGGACTTGGCACAAGGATGTCATTGCCCCCTTCTCCCCAGGAACGCTTGGTCCCAACAGGCCCTGGCTCCAACCTGTTTCACTCCCCCATTCCCTCAGCTTGGAGCCTTCCTCCCCCTCCTCTCCTTCGCCCATGACCTCTGAGGTGAAGGAGGTCCACCTTACGCGCAACACCTTTTGCAGGTACCGCTCTGTTGTGGACATGGTGAAATCGTGGCACCAGGAGAAGCAGCACTACTCCTTCCCCCACCCCCGCGAGTGCAACCCCCGCTGCCCCTCCAAATGCAGCGGCTCTGTCTGCAGCCACTATACACAGGTGAGCACCACAGCCCCCCCCCCCGCAGCCCTTCGGGACCCGGCTGCAAACCGAGGGGCAGCTCGCAGCACCTTGGGCTGCTGCAACACCCAGCGCAGCAAACAACTCTTCTCCCAGCAGCAGCAGCTGGGTCCAGGATTGAATCCTGGCAGCTGCCTGCTTCAAATCAGGCAGCAGGGCTGGCAGCAGGCAGCGTGCCTGCCGGAGGGCTGCAAGCAGCCATTGGGGATGCCCTCCCACCCTGGGCCCCCACGGGAATCGGGCTGCTCACATGGAGGTCCCAGGAGCTCACAGCCCACTGGAGTGCAGCTGGGACCTTCTGGCCAGTTGGCTAGGAGGTTTTCATTTTTTTTAAGCTTTTTCCCCTGCTTTGGCCTTCTTCTCTGTATTACCCCACTGGCACCTCAAAGGTGGTGAAGAGAAAAAAAAGCCCCTTTGTGCTTTTGCTGAGCATGAATCCACTCCTCTGCGAAGGAGCAGCTTTATAGCACCCAGCCGTATCCAGCTCCCCGGCATCCCCTGGCACATCCACCAGCAGCCTGGCTGGCACAAGGTAGAAAACATCCCTCATTGCTCAGTGGCAAAGCTGTGCCAACCCCTAATTACCTCCTCTGCACGGCTCCAACCTTTACCTGAGCATCTGCATCCCCGTGCAGCTCGTCCATGGGGATGCTTGGGCATGGTCCGTGTTGCAAATGGGCAAGATGATACATTTTTTAAGGAAGAAATTCAGCGTGGAGAGGCTTTAGGAGGAGCTTCTAGATCTGTTTCACCTCCCTGTGTGCAGGGTAAGCTGCCAGCAATGCTTCAGGGTGAGGGTAAATTGGAGAAGTGACCCAGACTCAGCTGCTCGTTGAAGTGACCTTGGCAAGGCAGCCCCTTGCAGGGCAGCACAGGCTGCAGACAGAAGAGGGACAGCAAGAGATCACCCTCTGGTGACAAAGCACTGCCCTTGATGGGCACAGCATCCAGCCCGAGCAATTCAGGCAGGGGAGATGTGATTCCCTGGTGGGATGGAGCCCTGTGCTGGGGTCCTGGGGTGACTGGCTGTGGGATGCCTGGGCAGGCGGTTGCCGACAGTGCCTGTTCTCTGTCCCGGTGCAGATGGTGTGGGCATCCTCCAGCCGTCTGGGCTGCGCCCTCGGTGCCTGCACCAACGTGCGGGTGTGGGGCAGCACGTGGCGGCATGCCGTCCTCCTCGTCTGCAACTACGCCATCAAGTAAGTGCGTGGAGGGAAGCCCCCCTGTGCCCTCCTCCCTCCTCGCTCCAGTGTGGGCAGCGAGGTGATGGCACTCAGAGGTGATGCCCTTCTTTTTTTTTAGGGGCAACTGGCTGGGAGAAGCGCCATACAAGTTGGGGCAACCGTGCTCAGCCTGCCCCCCCACCTACGGCGGGGGCTGCTCCAACAACATGTGCTTCACCGGACTCAAATCCAACCAAGTCAGCTGGTTCTAGGGCTGCAGCCCCATGAGGAGCCCCCAGCAATGGGGACAGGGTGAACCAGAATTATTTATAACACTGACCCTCCCCAGCAGCCTGGCTGTCCAACCTGCTTCATCCCTAGTGCCATGTAGGAAACTGCTTTTTTTAACACACTTTTCCAGCAGTGCTTGCGTTGTCCGGCTGCTTCCCACTTTGGGGGAAATAGGGATGGTTCAGATCCCTGTTACCTGGAATAGGGACAGTTCAGGGATGCACGGAGGGAGTGGGGCTGGCTGGCATGGTCCCCACTCCGTGGGCTTGGGGGGCTTTCCCCACTGCCCCCTACCTGTGCTAAGGCAGAGGCTGGTGTAAGCGAATACCAAGATGTTCCCCTCATGGCGAGTGGCTGGAGGAGAAGTGGGGAGCTCCAAGCGTGCCCCTGCTCCACAGCAATCCCTTCTGCCACAGGGCCCCCTGCTCCGAGCCCCCCAATAAAGCAGCCTGGAGACCCCTGTGCTCGTGTTGGTCCTCCCTTACTCACAGCCCGGAGCCTCGGGGTAGCACCGAGCCGGTGCCTTTGCTCTGGTTTTTGGGGTAAGCAGTGAAGGGGTGCAGAAGCCCCAAGCACGGCCATGGGCCATGGCCGCAGGAGATGCCTGGGCACTTTGCTCCATCGTGTGGGAGAAGCCAGCACTGCTGGGACACCAGGTGACGATGATGCTGGAGGGCCACGAGCTCCCTTGGGATGTGCTTTTCCATCCAGAGGAGCAGATGTCCCTAATTTTGTCCCCTTGGGGCTGCAGGGTTTTGATAGCCGGGGTGCTGGGGCTCCTGGGACTGGTAGGGACCTCTCGGTGCCTCCTCCAGCCTGGCCCCTTCCAGAGACGTACAGGAGATGCGGGAGGCCCTGCACTGGCAGTTCCAGCTCTGGATCCCCTATATATTTGGCATCATCTCAGCAACACTTCTTGCACGCGGCCCTGCTTGCCTCAGTGCAGCCCCCTGTGAGCAGGGGCTGCTCCTGCCATGGAGCCACCAGCTCCACGGGGAGGTTGGGGACCACACCTGCGCCCTCTGCCACCATGAGGTCCCCGGGGCTCCTCCTGGGTGCTGCGGTCCAAGAGAGAGCACAGATGTCCACAAGCGGCTGCGGCACCTTGCGAGTCCCCCCGATTTGGGGAGCAGAGGGAGATGGGGAGGAGCTGCAAATGCCCTGCGCCCCAGCCCCGTGCGCAGGGTACCACCCTTCATCCCACCGCCACATCCCCGCCGCTCCCCATCCCCAAGTCACCCCTCTGGTTTTGCACCAAGGGGACAAGTCCCAACCCACGGCTGGGGCGTTTTTCCCCTTGTACCTTGGCTGGGCTCTGCTCTGCCCGTGCCAGTATGTGCCAGCCCCCAAGGCTCATCCCACGGCCCCTCGCCCACTGGCAGGGTTAGCCCCTTGCCTGCAGGTGGGCTCAGTCCTGGTTTTCTCATCACGGGTGGGCAACAGCACAAAAACCAGCAGCACCCAGGGCGCTGCAGAGCTGGATCCGGCCACCCCGTCCCCCCCACGGCCGGGGGTGAACCCCAGCCCAGTGGCTGCCCCGGCCTTGACACCAAGTGGAAACGGGAGCCCCAAAAGAGTCCAGTAAAAGCCATGTTTGAGTTTCTAGCTTGGCAGCAGTTACTATAGCTACAGCAACGGCACCTTGCAGATTGGTTTCCATAAGAGCTTGGTTACTATTTAACATCTCCACCCACATTAGCCCTGATTAAGCGAATCAATAAGATAACAGGAGAGGCAGGTTTCCTCGCCCTGCCTCTCCGTGCTCCCTCCTGCCTTCACCTAGTTCCTTAGTGAAAGACGTTTTTATTTATTTATTTAGATTTCTTTTTATTCCTCTACTTCCTCTGGTTTTCACCCCAAGTCCCCATAGCAGTAGCCGGCGAGACATGGTCAATGTAAGCACCCAGCTAAGCGCTAAGATGGAGGCTCCATATGGTGAGTACAGCGTTTCCATCGCCCGCGCTGCCGCCCCGGCGTCGCTCGCGGGAAGCGGGGCTGGGAGCGGGCAGCAGCCCCCGGCCCCACGTCCCGGCCCCACCGCGCTGCCCGGCTCCCACTGGCTCAGGCACCTGCAAAGGCTGGAGATGGAGGTAGAAAGAGGGTCCCTGGTTGATTTTTTATATAATATAAATACATATATATGTATTTTCTCTCTTTCACTCTGCTTGGCTTGAAGAAGAAGGCACGTGCCCGAGGGAGCAGAGCGGTCCGACCTGCTGGCGGAGGGGCTGCTGCAGGGTTCGCAGCAGAAGTGGAAGCAGTTTAGAAAGGAGATGACGTGCTGCCCTTAGGACACGCAGCCAGCCCCAATGCAAAGGCTGCGGGCGGCCCATGGCATGGCCGGGCTGTGTGAGCGGGCACAGCGGGCGCCCGCCGGTGCTGCTGCTCTTGCCGAGGGCCGGGGCTGGGCTGGTGTTAATGCTGGGCAGGTTTCCCAGCAGGGACTATAGAGCTCGGATGAACGGCAGCCTCCAGTCTCTGCGGGGCAGAGCATCGGGCAGCATGCCACTGCTCGGGGCACCCCGGCCGCAGGGAGATGCCCGTGTTCCCTGCGGGGTACAGCGGGTACCAGCCTGGTGCAGCCCTGTGCCGCTGCTCTCTTTGGCTGTGCCAGATGCCAACTACCAACAAAACACACATGGGCACCCAGGGGACGGGTCCCCTTGCCTGGGCTGTCGTCAGCCCGATGTGACCCTCGGGATGGGTCCAGCTGTGCCCGTGCTGCAGCTTCCCTGCAAGGCAAGGAGCCGGGGCTGGTTCGGTCCTACGTGATCTGGGAAGCCCTGTCCCTTGGGCATGGCCAGGGTGCAGAGCGAGGCTCCGGCAGATGAGGTCTCACAGTTACAAGGTTTTCCATCATGTCCTGTGGCTCTCCATCACACCCCATGGCTCTCCATCACATCCCCTGCGTCTCAATCATGCTACCTTGCCTCTCCTCACTGTATTTATCACGTCCTGCTCCTCTTCTCCTTTACCACGCCCCACCCACGAGCACACCCAGCCCCACCAGCCCACGCTCCAGCCGCTGCCTGTGCTGCAGCCAGGCCCCAGGAGGGCTTGTGGGGCTCCCAGGCCACCTCCCTGCACTTTGCTCATGGCCCCGTTTTGGGTGGTGGCTTCTCCTGCTCCAGGCCTGCAGCCTCCTATGGGTGCCACCTCCAGCCCTAACCCACCCTCGTGCTGGGCATCCACGCTGCAGCGACACCCGTGACTCCTTGCCCCAGCCCCCAGCACTTCAGTACTCTCCAGATCACTTTAATTTTGGCTCACATCGCCCCATGGTGAGCCATGGCCAGATGCGGGGCTCATTGGCATTTCAGTGGGCCCATGGCTATTGCAATGGAAACGTGTAGGAATTGCACAGGATCTGCAATAGCATCACTGGACTGAGCTGGAACAGGAAGGTGTAGTCAAGCAGTTACCAAATGCTGAGTTTTAGACCCTTTTTATCAGGTTGCTCATTTGTACGTCCCAGGCCTGCAGGAGCCGGGGCTCTGGAGAAGCTCCCTTCACCCACGCCTCTGAGCTGCAGCGGGACGGGGCCACGCATAAAGCTGGACTCAGAAAAATGCTGAGTTTTTGGTCTGTTCAGTGCAGGTTGTGGTTTTGCATCCAGCTGGTGCTGCTTGGACAATGTGCAAGGAGCCACGCAATGAAGGCTGCTTGTGAGCATGTAAAACGAAGGCTTGATGCCTCTGAGATGTACAGAGGGTCAGATCCTGGAGCAAGGGCACCTCTATGGGCTGGCCCAGCAGAAGCAGGTGCTGAGCATCCTCCAGGCTGAAGCCCCGCATGAGTCTTTGCTGCTGGTGGGGAGATGGCTCCTGACCCACCAAGCTCGCAGGGACTGACTTCTGCCTCACTTGCAGGAGAAGGGGAGGCTCAAGTGATGCTCCCATCAGCCTGGGAGACACAGCAGTGCGGGGTGGCTGGGTCTGGGTGTCCCCAAATCCAGGGTGCCTGTGTCCTGCTGTACCCCGGGTGCAAAGTCAGCCTCATTTCTGCAGCGAGCCACAGGCTTTGCCTGACAGATGCAATGCAAGGAGCTGAACAAGCTCTTTAACAACTTACGATTAAGTTATTCTGCCCACTTGCAGCTGGCTTTAAAGCGAGCAGCCGCTTGCCAGCCCCGGCACATTGGTGACCTTAAACACAGGCAGACAAACCTTTCCGCCGTTAATTTTCTCCTGACTTTTTTTTTTTTTTAACCCTAATTTTCTCCTAATTTTTCAGCCTGAGGGTCCACGACCAAGCTGTGGGCTGAGCCTGGGCAGGCGCAGGCAGACCTGGGTGCCGCGGGGCGGCTGGGGAAGAAAGAATGGCCGCACATCCCACCTGCGGCTGCTCTCCCCATCTGCTCCTGTGGCCAAACAAAGGCGCGCTCCAGCCGGCACCCGCTGCCTGCCAGGCTGTCGTGGGGCCAGGCTGCCGAGCCTGGGGCCTTGCAAGGGGGAGAGTGAAAAATAATAAGAATAAAAAAGCGAGACAGGCCTCCCAGACCTAAGTGAGAGGAAGCTCGGAGTGTTGGCAGAAGGAAGGGAGACCTCATAAATAAAACGGGTGAAAAAGTTATCCAAATAGAGGCAAGGAAGGGTTGGCGGGGAGGGGGGACCCGGCAGTGCCTGGCTTCCTCGGGAGCCTGCAGTGCCGCAGGGCTGGGGGTGGGCTGGGATGGGTGGCAGGGTGGGCACAGCAGCCAGGATGCACCATGGGGCAGACAGCAAAGTGGTGGCCAAACCCTTCCCAGGGTCACCGGCAAGTTTATTCCCTTGCAAAGCAATGCGGGTGCCCCAGCTGTGCCCGCCAGGGCTGCTCTCGCAGCTCCCAGCCCTTGGCAGGACAGGCCACCCCAGCTGGCATTGCACTGGCATTGCCGGGGCTCAGCCGGTGCGTGCACACCAGGGTCCACCAGATGCGCCTTCAGCCCCGGAGGGGTCATGCAGTTATTTTCAGTTTCCTTTGACAGATGGAAAGATTTTCT